GGACCTGGGAGGCATGCGAACGGAGCAAGGCTGGGGAAGTGCGACAGAGAACAGAAGCGGTGACGCTCTTTCCTTTGCGTTTAGGGGATCCGTGCTGCGATGTCAAGAGACATCCGCGGAGGGAGTCGTAGTCGTCCAGCCTTCAGAGATCTCCAGAGCCAGGCACTGCAATTGGGCTTGCCTGCTGGTCAGCGCAGCTTGCTGCCTGGAGCTAAAGCCGAAGGGCTGGCGCACAGAGAGAGAGAAAGCAGGGTCTGAGACAGCGCCTCAGACTGCTGAGGCCTTTCGCGTTGCTGCACTCCTCCGGCAGTGCCGACATCGCCGCGCTGGGAGCCGCCTTCCCCGTCAAGGAAGCCGGGGACCCGGGCCCCAGCGTGATGGACCATCAGTCCATTCCGGCGCAGTCCGGCATCTCCCAACAGAGAACAGGAGGAGATAGGAGGGGGAGAGTGTCTTGAGGGATCAGAAAGCAGAAACAGGTAGAGAAAGCAAGCAGAAGCTTCAGCCCAGGCAGGCCAGCGGCTTCTGGACATGGAGCAGATCCACGAGGTGACACCCGGCCTCTTCTTCTTTTTTTCTTCTTCCTTTGGGAGCATCTTCGTGCCAAGACTCTAAGGGCTTGAGACGGCCCCTGAGGTGATGGTGCAGCTGATTCCGCCCAATCTGACCGTATGGCGGTCCCTTGTTCAGCCCCTGTTTGCTGCACCGGAACGCCTGCTCTCGAACAGCACTTCCAACGGGACTGGGCCCAGTTCCCCAAACGCCACCGAAGAGCCCTCGGATGAGGCGAACGAAAGCCAGGGCAACGCAAGCAGCAATGCAAGTGCCGCCAGCGGAGGCAATGCGAGCAACAGCAGCAACGCGACCTCGGAGAGTGGCGCCACGAGTACCACGAGCACGAGCACTGGCCCAGTGTTGCTGGACTTCACGGAGGAGAGTGCCGAGGCCTTGCTGGAACAGCTGAAGCGTGAAGCCCTTCAGGCAGCAGCGGGGGCCGAGGCTTTGAGGGCTCAGTGGCAGTCCGAGGTGTCGAGCTGTGTGCAGCTCTTGGCTCCTAAGCTGCGGGAGTTGCAGGAGATCGACAAGCTCCTGGGTGAAAGCGCCGAGGCTGCCGGCTTCAGCGTCGTCCGGATGGCGCAGGCAGTAACTTGGAAGCTTCGAAAAGAACTCCAAGACTTGGTCAATGCTACAGACCTTGTGGAGAAGGAGCAGAAGAGCATCGATGTGTTACAGAGGATCGGCTCAATGGCTTTGATGATGTTGGGGACATGGGGCCAGTCCTGGTATCATGGCCTTGAGTGGCGGTTGCTCGTGCAGGTGGATTCGGCAGCCTGGCCGCCTAACATGATGCCCCCTCTAGGAGGCGGCTTGTCAATGCCAGGGGCCGTGCCGATCGCCGACACACGCAAGCGAGTCTGGGAGCCCTTCGTGGAGGTGGCCGAGGGCTGGTTCTCTTTCGCGGAGGAGGTTCGACTGGAGCTGGAGAACCAAACAGACTTCGGAACCTCGGCGCTGAGTCGCCTCTTGCCGATCATGCATGGAGCGGTTGACCAAGTCGCAGCCTTCACGGAGGAGGTGTTGGAACCCTATGCCCGGGAGGGTTCCATGCTCTTCGCGGGGCCGTTGCCAAATATATCTCAGCCAACAAGCTGTGGCAACCGTGGTTGGTGCCTGTCCTTTGTGGCACGACAGGTCTCGGAAGAGTTGGCAGTCGAGGATGCCTGGGACGGTTTTGGTCCGCAAGCAGTGCGCCCGTGGATCGATCCTCGCGTCGAGGACTTGCGGCTGAAGAGAGCCTCAACTGAGATCCTGCAGATGGCTTGGGGCAGAATACGGATTTTCGAGGAGCTGCTGCTGCAAGTGATAGACGTGCGGGACATTCAGAAGGAGCCAAGCATTTCTGCAGCAGCATCTGCCCAGTCAACACACATTGCAGCACACATCGATGTGATCTTGCAGTGGTCCAAGTGGTCCAACATGAGTAGTTCGGCAGGTAGCGACCGACCCGAAGCAGCCTGGCACTGGCACGAGCTCCGCAAGCTGCGCTCAGCACTCGATCTGAGCCGTCGCTCCGCGGCCTTGTTGGCACGGCGTCGCCTGAGTCGCTTAGAGCTTTTGACTGCTTGGGTTTCGGGACAGCGTGACGACGGCTACAGCGCCGGCCCAGCGACATGGAGTTGGCGCCAGCCTTGGTCCCCTTGGAGCCTGCATTCTGCTGGTAGTCCGGCCATGGCTCTTTTCGATGCCTCAGCTGCAGCCGCCGCAAAGCTTGAGGCTGCCATCGGTGACCAGGAGTTGCATGCTGCCACGCGAGCACAGGCATACCTCAGAATTGACATCAGCTCCGATCTGCATCCGGTCGCCTATGCTGGATTGGTTCAAACAGGAAGTGCGATGCTACGACTTATGGCGCCGGCTGGGCGGGATCACATGATGATGCATGCGGACGCCAAGGCCTTCTTGATTTCACTGCCAGCCTCACAGCTCCCAGATCCGTTACAAGCTGGGGCAGAAACCGGCGAAGCTCCTTCTGGAGCTTTTCCGCAGCCCCACGTGGAGCTCCGGTTGAAGAGGCTGTCAGGCGCCTTCGACGCAGCGGACACTTCCGTAGAGCCTCCCCAGGAAGGAACCCTTCCTTTCGTGACGCGGCATGATCGTGGCACTTGCATGCCGCTGGCACAAATTCAAGCTGAGAAAGCACCCGAGATAGTTCCCGCTGCTTTGCTGCCGTTGGACGGCTTTTGGGTTCTGACTGCCCGAGATGGGACGACAGCAAGATTGCTTCAGATCGACGAGGGTACGGTGCTTCGCCTCTTGTTGGAGATCGATGTTCCCGACGGCACTCCACCATGGCCGCTGTTGTCGGACACTCGGGACGTCTTGTACAAACTGCCGGAAGATGGGCTCTGCAGCGGTCTGCGACCAATCTTCGGCTCAGCACCAGAGACCTCAACTTTCCCTCCCACGACTCGCACCACCCTTCACACACAGACCGCTACCACCATCCCCCTCATTCCAACCACCCGCCAGGGCGTGATCATCGTCGAAGAGGAGGAGGACCTTGTCCTGGCGCCAAAGCGCCAGGACACCTCCTTGGCACCGGGAGCGGCTCCCGAGCCTTGGACTCCTCCGATCTGGTTCTATGCCGTCCTCTTCTTGCTGGTGCTTGGTGCCATGGTCTTGGCCGTCCGATACACTTTCAAGTACCAGCGCCGGCGCATCCAGAACGGGAAGATTGTACCCGAGGCCTTGCAGGAGGAGGGGAAGGTGCCGGTCGAAGAGGGCACCTCGCAGGCAACACAGGAGGCCGCGCCCACCATCTTGACGAAGGATGGTAGTGCATTGCGCGAAGCCGCGGCCGTCAAAGCCTCAGAAAACCCTTACTTGGCCATGGCCAAAAAGTCGCCGAAAAAGATGGCATCCCGGAAGAGCGGCTCGTGGGAGATATCAGACACACCGCGAGAGGATGATCCCAAGAACGAGGATGAGGACAACAAGTCCTGGTCTGAAGCATCCACGCCGGAGGGCTCAGATGCAGAGGACAGTGGGGGCATGATGGGGCATGTGTAGGTGGGTGGTTGCTATTGGACTTATGGGAGTAAGAGTCACGTGAGTTTACCGTGCGAGTTGCTCATATTCTTTTTTTGTCTTGCCTGCCGCGGCCAGAGTGGCCAGAATCGCTTGTCTTTCGGCCTTCGCTGTCCGCTTTGCCATCAAAGCCCGCCATGCTTGTGCAGCCTGCCATTCTTGAGCCGCCAATGTTCCATGGCAGACACTAGGATTGAGACGTGTCTTCGCATAGCAGAGCTTTTTGCAGGAGGGCGGCTCCAGCAGCCACAGCAGCCTGCATTCGCCGTCTTCCAGTTCCGGAGATTCCTCGTCCGGTCGGAGTCGATCTGTTAGCCCCCGCACAGCACTCGCAGCCAAGGCGCTCGGAGCACACGCGCAGAACTTCTCACCCGATGCCTTGACAGCAGGGGCGCTGCGAGCCCATGCGCAGGATTTCTTGCCCGATACGAGGGCAGCCCAGGCTTTGGACGCCCATGCGAAGAGCTTTGCCTCCTCTTCCACTGCCCCGGCCCCGGCCCCGGCCCCGGCCCTCCCGGTCGTGCCCCCGGCGGAGGTGCGTCTGCAGGGCTCCAAGCACTCCAAGAATTCAAAGAGCTCGCGGGAGTCCGCCAGAGACGCAGAAGCGCGGTTGGGGGAAGAGAAGGAGGGCGCCGAGGCCAGGGGCGTCGATGCCCAGGCGGGGGATTCATAGAGTCGGCGATTCTGCAGGTGCAAGGATGAGACCAGGAAGGGGTCGAAGCCATTTGTGACCTTTTGTTTGCGCACTGTACACTGTACACAGTGGATCGTTTTTGGCAGCGCTGCCTGTCTCACCGATATCCGAACGCCTCTGAGAGCCGTCGGATACCAATTCAGCGCTTTCTCCCGCAGCCTGTCAGATGGCACGAAGGGGGCACCACTGCACACCGAAAGGTTGTGCTGTGCCGCGGCTGAAAGATCTGAAAGGTTGCGCACAGTTAGCAAAGTTGGTGTTCTGGCCAAGCGCTTGTAGCACTTACCACGTGTCACCTCGTTCATGCATCTTTCGGGGCAGAAGCCTACGAATCCAAGCGATTTTCCTTGACGGCAAATCGCTGCCTCAAAGAGGAGGCTTTTTGAGTCAAGACTCGCCTACGGAAACTTTGCCAACGCCTTGCTCCGGCACGGAGTTGATATTCGTCGCGAGGTAGCATGCCGACGGTCGGAGCATTTCGGAGCTTCTTAATTTCGATGAATTCCGGCTTCAAGACTGGTTCCAGGCAGCATATAGATAGATGCTGTAGGGCTTAATGCTGGAAGATGTCAGGACCCGGGAGGTCACAAGCAGGGAGGATGGGCGCATTCAAAGCAAGCCGAGCAAGCTCGAACAATGCTTCTAGTTCGACAACGTGTTGTTTGTTGTTCAGAAGTTCTTCCCGAGCCCGTCTCGGAAGAGGCCGAGGTGCCCAGCCATGGACTGGGACTTGCATGAGGATGCCATCGGCCTGGACCGCTTCAAGCCATGGGACAGGCTCAAGGCCAAACCAAGGGAGCCATCGGAGGACTCGTCCGTGGCGACGCCCCTGGCGCTTGCTGTGGACGAGCTCGATCTCCGACACAAGAAAGCCCCACACCTCGGGCCGGGCCCGGCAGCCCGTCCTTCTGAGCGGGCGGTACAGGAAGCGCCCGGCGCCTCGCCACCTTCCTCGGATCGGACGCTTCGAAGCTTGGTGCGGGAAGCTTGCGTGTCCTTGCGGCGGCCGGTGAGTGAGGCCGACAAGCTCGTGGCACGCCTGCACCGGGAGTGGTTGGAGACCCCCAAACAGCTCCTGACCTTGGGCTCGGAGGGCTGGGCGCGCCTGGCCCTGCCCGTCGGCTTGGAGTCCGAGCTGCAGAAACGCCTCGGCCTAAGCCGAGGTGCCTGGATCGAGCGGGCGGCCCCAGGGGACAAAGATGCCTCGAAGTCCGCGAAGCAAACGCCCACGGCCATAAAGGAACGCCCAGGCTCAGATCTGCTACTCGCGCTGCGTCGCCACTGCGGCGATGCTTGGGCTTCCCACCTGCTTTCCGCCTTGGGCCTCCAGCACCGGGAGACTGTCGATGCCAACCGCCTCCAATCGGCACTGCGAGTGCTCGGCGTGCCGAGCTTCAGCACGGCTCAGGTCCAGCGCTGAGCCACTTTGAACTTCTGCCGTGTGTCATGTTGGGGAGCTTCTTCGTTGCGTTAGCCGCATGATGCGGAGGTTGCCTCGGCCGTTCGAAGGGCGGCGAAGGGGGCAGAAGCCCGGGGACCTCCCTCGGCCGACGCCGTGGTCGCTGCAATCCACGGGCCGCTGCGGGGGCCGCGGGCGCAGGAGGTCTCGAACGTCTTCTTCGACCTCGGAGGTCTGCGATAAAGTGAAACCTGCAGTGCCGAGTCCCGAGGCAACTAAGTCACGTGAGAAGCGATCACCACAGGAGACATCCGTGGAACCCTCGCGGTCCAGGCGCTGCGCAGGCAAGTACACACCGCAACGATGCATCACCGCCGTGTGCAAGCGTACGGGTCCTCGTCTTGCCGAAGGCGCCTTGCTGCCAGGGAGCTGCCTGCAGTAAAGGCGACTGCAGTGTTCCAAGACTTTTGACACGTCTGTTGTCATCGACGTGCAAGGCCGGACACGTTTCCGCTGATGAGGCCTCTCGAAGCTGCATGGAATGCCTCTGCTCCAGCGGTTCTTGGAACAGGCATTTCGCGAATTCCTGCGTCGCTGGGGCTCCAAGAAGGACAACAAGCGTTGCTTTTTTCTTCTTCTCCGCGGACGGGCTGGGCCCAAGCCGGGGGCCAGGACGTGGATCAAGAGAGCTTCTCGTCGGCTCACGTGGTCCTCTCGGCCCTCTATCGTGGAGCCGGGAGCTTTCAGCGACTCGCGGCGGGAGATTTTGCAATCGACACGGGCGACTGCGCGGCTGGCGCTGAGGACGAAGCCGGTTTTGGGCGACTGCTCAGGAGGATCTGGCGCCTTCCTCAGGTGAGGTGCTCAGCAGAGGGTTTCCCTTCTTCGACAGATGCTGCACAGCTACCGTAAGTCGCAGTTAGCCATGTGAGCCCTTAAGGCACCCGAGCAGGAGGTAGAGCCTGCAAAGCCGTCCAGGCGCGCAGTGACACAGGAAGCGCTGCAAGCACGTGTTCGACTGCAAACTAGTTAAGCTTGCTGCAGTGAAGCAAGGCCCCAGCCCACCAGGCAACTGCAGGTGCCGGAGGACCCTTGCAGTGTTGCGAAATGCTACTCTGTTGACATGCCAGGACTGCGCAACTGTCTCGATTCAGGACCCCTTGCCAAGACACCAGCCATCATCACGAAGACGTGGACACCTCAAGTCTGTGAACCCGTCCGCAAGAGGGGCTCTGTCAGCTCCAGGCATGGACCGCATGGCAGCCATCACAGAGTCCATCCGGTGCTCAGAAGGTGCCGGCTTCGAGAGTTCAGTGCTGGCAAATGCTAGCAACATCTTTGCCATCCAGTGTCCACGTCGCTACGCGCCGCTGGCTCAAGCCCTTTGCCGAGAGCAAAGGCATCCGACAATGCAGACCCGATAGGGAACTCCGGGATGGTGGCTGTCAGAGGTCCTCGGGCTCAGCCTACCCATGTCCGCGGACCCGGTGCCCACGGTTCCATATGTGGGCTGTGAGAGGCCCAATCATCCTGCTTGGCTTCGTCCTCGTCGTCGGAGCCAATGCATTCAAGCTGCAAGTGCACGGAAGTCCAGGACGGCTCGTCATGACCTAAACACGAGTTGCTGCCGTGAGTTGCAGATTGAGATTTGCAGGCGCCAGCTCCGCTGGCAAGGCAGGAGTGTGCAGCACTGTTTCGTTGTATTTGCTTGTCAGTTTCAGATCACAGGGAGCGAACATCTCCTTGCTGTCCCAGCCGCAGTCAAACAGAACCGGGTCGCCAGCAAACGCAGCAGCCCCATCTGTCATTGCGAGCTTGAGTTTGCATGCGAAAGTCGGAGTCAGAGGCCAGCATCTCCAGTGGGGGTGAGGCAGCGGGATGTTTCTCCGTGGCGCTCAGCATCTCCTGGCCTGTGCGAAGGAGGTGAAGCGCCGCCAGATTGTCAGTGAGGGTCGGCCCGAGCCCGGGAAGAAGGGCCAACACCCGACAAACGGAACGCAGAACGCCACGAGCCAGGAAGGCGTGCCATGCGTGCCTCTCCGCCTCCCTAGCACCCCAAAGCTGACAGCGCGGATGTCAGGCGGAAGCTTCGGCTTCGACGTCTCCAAGATGCCTCGCCCTTACTCTCAGGTCTCGCGTCTGGCGCAGTTGCCGCACGTTGGCCGAAGCCTGGAAGGTCAGTGTCCGAGTTCTGGGAGCCGTACATGTGGGTTGTGGCAGCCATCGTGGCCGTCTTCGCCGTGAGCTTTGAACTGTGCCATCGCCGGCTGGCCGACTACCCAGCTGGATGTGGTTGTTCCACATTGTACGGGCTATGTCTTCAACCTCTAATGATGCCGGTGCTCCAGGTTATCGAACACACGCACATTCACCCACAGCAGGCAAACAAGGGTGTTAGCCGGGCAAAATGGAAGCCTTGCATCCGATAATGTCGGCAATCCAGGTCGAAGTCCTTCGGAAGTTACGGAGAAACATGAACCACTTAGTTCGCCCCGGAAATGGGTTTCTAAAAGTGACACTTCTTGGTCTGCACAGCGTCTGTGCCAGCATGAGTTGTGCACAGTCATTACACATCTTCAATGCAACCACACCACGGCCGGTCTACTCTACGGGAGGCAGGAGTGGCCCACGGACAACGTGAGGGAGGTCAACAGGGGTGCAAACTCCTGACTGTGTGTGTGTGTGTGCGAAGTCAACAATCGCGGATTGTTTCAGTTTCGTTTATATGTAGCTTCTGTCTGCGCCCAACCATGGATGCTGCGGCAGACCTGACTGCTCAACCGTGTAGGCCTTCCCAACATGCCTGCCAAACTTGTTGCACATGTCGCATGTGGTGTGTAGTAGTCGCCGCTTCATCGCCGAGGCAGATGTGGACCTGACCGCAACGTTCCGTTCCCAGTCCTAGCCTGTGAGAGAAGAGATCTCGCCTGGAGCCTGGAAGGCCCGATTGCGGAGCCGAGCATCACGAGCACCAGATGCTGCACTTATTCAACGGGATTTTGCCTCTTGTGAGGCGCCGCCTGGGCCTGGCATGGCCATGACAGAGGTAAAGAACGTGCAGTTTCCTTGTAACCTTGCTTCAGGCCTTTCTACTTCGGCCACGAACGGCGGACAGCCTGGACCTACTTGGCGGCTATCTCCGTGCCCCTCGGCTGACAAGTGCTGCAAAGTGTACTAGGCCACAGTCGCAAGATCAGAGAGGTTGGGTGTGATTGACCTGATACTGGGCCCACTCCCCAGATTCCGATTTGGCAAGGTATCCTCTTCCCATGTCTTACGATGTGCAGAGGACTCGTCATTATGGTTTGGTCCAAAGAGTTTTGGGACACCATCGAAAAGAAGAACATCTCGCGCTTCTTCCCGCTGGACTCTAAGTGCCATGAGAGTTGTCTATAGCAGCATGCACAGTGCGACACCGATTCTGACTAGGCTGATTCTGGATCTCTGCCTCTTGGCTTTCTCCAAAATTATTCTTTCCACCTACGGCCAGTACATCGGCCGAGAGCCCAGCTTAAGAATTCCGATTCGTTCCAACCTGGCCTGACAGTTTCTGAAAGGCTTGATGCTTTCCATTCGCTGGCGACGTTCCATGACGCAATGGTTGCTGACGCAGTGGTTGAAGGTGGGTGGCTGGGAGTTGGATGGTTCTTCCAAGCACTCCACCATGTCAACGGATCGTGTAGGATAAGTGCTTTTACGCGATGCAGCTCGATGGCAAAGGTGACGCCTGGAGCTTACAGGTGCGTGGTACGTGAGAAGACCCCCCGGAACCCATACCGATCTCTGAGCCTTGAGGTTCCAGACAACCCGGATCAGCGAATCCAGGAGGACGCGCGCCTCTTTGTGGAGCCTGCTTCTCGGTTTGCTCAGACTCTGGCTCTGGGTCGAACTTCCTTTGCTTCCGTTGAGGCAGACGATGTCGCTGGGCACAGGCTCCGGGTGGCAGCAAGTCTTGCAAGGGACACCGGCGCGATTCTGCTCGTCGGCATATCTCCTACGCCCTTCACGGTCTGCGCATTCGAACGGGAACTGCCTGATAGGATGCTGCGGGACAAGGCTTTGGGGCTCGGGTCATCTGGTCGTAATTCGGGTTCGTGGAAAGAAGGCGTGGAATCGGAACTTGTAATGCTAACATTTGCTACTGTACCCATAGTCTCTGGCACAACACTCGCCCACCTCGACTGCACCTTCTGTGTCGTTCCACTGATTCACGAGCTCAGTGTTGCAGGCTTCGTTACCGCCGCCACGCATCTCTTGTCTAGGTTGTCGGTCACTCAATGATATGGCTCCTCCGTTTTATCGTGCAACTTCCTGGTGATCATGATTGAGGCCCATGCTTCTGTTGCTTTCGCCAAGCTACGCGTTCGGATGGTCCGCGCGTCAGCAGCTTGCTGTTGACTGCAGCCTGCTTGAAAGCCTTTGCTCTTGGAGCTAGGTTCTACTGCCCCGGCTGGCTGCTTTACGTAACGCTTCTCTACTCCGGAGTGGGAGCCATTGTGGCCCACTTTGCCAGAGCCTCAGAAAAACCAGCGCGGCCGTCGCCAAAAGAGCGCTTGTTGTGCCTCGTTGGGAGAGGTGGGGCAGAAGCTGATCATGATCAATTTCGGCCTGCAAAAGTACGAGGCCGGGGCCGGCCAAAACCCGCTGCTTTTCCGGTTTGTTGGGGAGAGCCTCCGTTGTTTGGAGGCGGGCTTTCGCTACGACATCGTGCAAATCCGTCCTCGCCTCGGCTCTGGTAAAGCTTTGTGTGGCCGTCGAAGCGAAACGGCCGAGGCGATAATGCTGAGAGCATTGCTCTCTACGGCTCGGAACCCTGCGAGGAGGAGCGATTACAAGCAAAGTTCGCATGGATCGAACGAGTGCCCCGAACTAAGCTCCGCCGATGCACGAAGTCCAAGGATGGTATGCGGTTCTGCAAGACGCAAGGTGGTGGATGATGATGTGCTACACGAAGCGCCTGGGTTTCTTTGTGTGGGGCACTCGTGTTCTTTCCTTGCCCTATTTCGCCTCTGTCTCTCTGAGAACTTTGGAGACCAGGTCGTTTTACTACCAAACCTCCAGCATCTTTCCCTACCTGGTCCTGGCTCCGAACTATTTTCGGGGTCAAATCACGCTGGGAACCATGTTCATGCTCTTCGACGTGCCGGGCCCCCAAAAGGGCACCCGAGACGAGCGGGCGCAACCAAAGCGCACGGAGGCTTTGGGCCGTGAAGGCCGGCTTTGATTGGTTCCTGGGGAGTTACTCCGAGCTGACAGGCAAGGCCACCCTGCACCTTCTTGCAGCAAAGCCATGCCATGTGAGCCTCGGCCCAGGCTATCGAGCGACTGTGGATCGGCTTTCGAACTTCACCCAGGCACGGGTCGCATTCTGACGTATCCGTGCGCCGGTCATTTCTTGAAGGCTATGGAGAGGAGAGAGAATGCCAAGTGCAAAGTCAAGCGGCTGCCGGCAGCTCGCCCAGTACTGGAAGTGCACCTTCTGGGCTTGTTCGCCTGCCGGCCTGTGCTGAGGCTGGAGACAACGACGCTGCCGTTGTAAGCGGCCTCAACGTCCAGCTTCCGGCCAAAGTCGATCAGTGCACTCCATAGCGGGCACACTGTGCTTCTGCAAAGGCAAGCGACGCGGCTCTCAGCTCTTTTAAAAGCCCAGGCGCCAGTTGTGGAAAGATGCCAACCTGGAAGTAAAGCCAGGCCAGTTTGGGCCTCAGGCCTCTGCTCTGCGTCGGCTCCCGCATACGGATGGCTTTTGGAGCCTTTCGAGGTTCGTGCTGCTGTCGGCGCCAGAGGGAACTGGAAAGAGTTGCTTCTTCCGCGCGATGGCAGGAATTTGGCCACTTGGCCTCACGCGGATTGTCCGGAGCAAACGAGTCACGGATGTCACGGCCAAGCCAAGGCCTCATGCAAGTGGAGAGGTGTATCTGCCGGCGAAGACCCTCTTCCTGCCACAGAAGCCTGCAGCCCAAATGGCCAATGGCCTCCTTCGGTGGGACTGTTGGCAATCGACAGAGGTCCTACATTCCGCAGGGCACGCTGAAGCAGGCTGTAGCCTACCCCTCCGGCAGGGATCCTACACTCCAACGGTGGGTTTTGCATGCCAGTGGAGCTGGCCAGCATCTGAGAGGTGCCACCGAGTTCACCGATGCAGAGGTGCAGGCTGTTCTGGAGGCGGAGCTGCAGAGATCCCCTCGTTTCTTTTCCGGGGCTTTGGTCTGCCTTTTTGCCAGCAGGCCGTGCGGCTCACAACCTTGGAAGGCCCGTCGGAAAAGACTCGTCGGATGCTCTCTTTCTTCGACTCGGCTTGCAGGTCGTCAGCTCCATGACGAGGCCAACTGGGCATCTCGGATTCGAAAAGCCACGGAGTCGAAAGCTGGCGTAGCATTGGGGATGAGACTTGCGGCTGCCTTAGGCAATGCTGCTCTCTGGCGGTGAGCAGCAGCGATTGGCCATCGCTCGTGTCTTGCTACGTGCTGCTGCCGCGGTTGTACCGGTGGTCTATCCGTCTGTAATGAAGTTTGTTGAATTGCTCATGCCCCGAACATAAACAGCCAAACCCTTCGGCTGCATCCAGGCAAGCCGGAGGCCCTGTTCTTGGACGAGGCGACGAGTGCGGGGAGCACAGGAGAATACAGGAGAGTATCTGGCGCTACTGCGGCCAGAGTTGGATCCGAGGCCCTGGGCGCTGAGGGTGCTCTGGAGGTCTTCCAGCTGCTTCGGCAGTCGCCTGTCTGAAGCTGCAGGGTTGCCCTTGCTGGAAAGAGGGTGCCTTGGCCACCGGTTGACGAGGCCGAAGAGCCTTCCAGCAGGTGCAGTCGTAGTGACTGTGAGTCGAGAGCTTGGCGAGCGGCGTGTCAATCTTAGTATTGTTGGATTTTGGAGGGAAGACTTGGGCAGCTCAGGCCATGACGTCGAGCTGTTGAAGCCCATTCACGATGCACACTACACCTACGACACCGAGTCTGCCAGCTGGCAGTTGGAATGAGAGCCGGAGCTGGCTCCAAATCGCTGCAGACCGGGACTGTGTGGATAAGATTTAGCTGTGACTGTTTCACCCTTCAAGCAGTGGCAATACCATGCACAAAAAAACACCTGTAGGTGGCTGGTTTGCTGGAGTGTTCCAAGTTGGAGCGTTAGGACCGTTAGGAGATGTCTCTGCCTTTGGTAGGTGCCAGTGCCTTGCTGGACCGGATTCGTGGCGCGCTACGGTCCCGAGGGCCTGGAGCCGTACAGCTGCTTTGCCAGAGGCAGCGCCCGAGAGTGAAGATTCGGTCCGACCGCCTCGTGCCGCGAAGCCTTGCTTTTGAAGGTTCCAAGTGGCGGAGCAAGGGCAGCGTGCCATCCGAGCCAAGGAGCACGCCTTGCAACACAAGTCCGGGTCGTATCTGCCAGCCGCCTCGCCAGAGGAGCTGCGACAAGGACTCAGCCAGGCGAACGCGCCATTCCGCCAATGCTGTGCTCATAGTGGGCGAATCTTGCTCTCAAGACTCAAGAGAAGTGGGGGACTGTGCATGGGACATCAAACCCATACCGCGCTTCGAGCGTGGAATCTCTTGTCATCCAGCGACATGTGTGCGGTGATGTTGAGCCGCGTTTGCTTTGCAGGTCGGGGTCGGGGCAAGCGAAGAAGACGTTGTCGAGCTGCTCCGCAGCGGCGAACCAAGTTGCTGGGTGTTGGAGCTCCGGGGCCATGAGCCAGCCTCTGCACCCCGGGCATCTGAACAGGCATGGACGTCGATGGCCAAGGGACGGTTGACCTGGATGACTGGCTGCAGGGGCCTCATGCCATGTTTGGCGAAACACCCCTTTGCGTCCCAAACTGTACAGTTTTCTTTAAGCTGTCGCAGGCGTGTTCTTCGGGGACCACTCAGCCCAGCTCGAGCTGGTGTGGTGCGCGAGGCATTGGTGGCAGATTAGCCTCTATTGTAGTGTTGCTAAGCCAACTTGTATTGTGCACAGAAGCCGGGTGAACGAGTGGAGCCACGAGTTGATCTCGCAACAGTTTGGCTCAAAGCAAACTAGTTCGCTTCTTATGACGGGTCATGAGGATGGAGCCCTCTCTCTGCCACCAACCGGTGCGATGACATCAAGCGAAGGCAAGGAGGGAACCACCAAGGGCTTCAAGCTCGTTGTCGAAGCGAAGAAGTTCGATGATGGCTCTGGTTCAGATTCTGAAAGTAGCAGTGGAGCCAGTGCTAAATCCGGCAGTAGCTTGTTGTCAAGGAGATCCCAGTCCAGCATGTATAAGTCCGGGCTGAGCATCTCCGCGAAAGACAAAGTGGGAGATACTCGCAGCTATCGTGAGTTGCTGGAAAGCAAGGGTTACAAGATCAGAGGCCGGGGAAACTCCGAAGCAAACTAGATGCCGCACCTTAGTCGCGCTTTGCAAGCCCCAGGCGTCATCGGTCGCGGCCAGAACAGCGGCTTTTTGGTTCATTCCGCCATTCGGGAAGACCAGGAATATGCAGTGAAGGTTTCCATTGAGACGGGCCAGGCGATTGGGACTCTTCGGGTTGGTGCCTTGAGCTTTCTTCCCGTGCTAGTCACCTACAGTGCTGTATGCGTCCACAGGTGTACATAGCAGCATACGTGTGATAAGAGCCTTTGCCACGAATGATTGGCCTTGTCCCTATCATCCCTGTCCCGTGAGGAAGGCACGAATGGCGATGCCATCCGCAAGGAATTCCAAATTTTGAAGCGACTTCAGCACGAGAGAATTGTCAAGGCATATGCTCTCGAAGATGAACTCGACGAAGGTGTCAAGGGAGTTGCCATGATCCTGGAGCTATGTCACGGTAGCACGCTGAATCGGTGGCTGCCCTGGCACGACAAGAGTACCACGGCTCTGGACGTGGCCTGCCGACGGCAGTGTTTGACACAGATCGCTTCTGCAATTGCTTACCTGCATTCAGTTGGGATCGCCCACCGTGACCTCCATTCGAAGAATGTGGTCGTGCACGTCAGTCAGATCAACGGTAGATACGAAAGCGAGTCAGTGCAAGTGAAGGTCATCGACTTAGGCTGCGCCCGAGCAATTGATAGCGAGGAGGCCATGGAAGCCACTCAGTTGCAATGCGGGGACCACCACTTACGGTCAGGCTCAAAGACAGGAGCCAGGCTTGAACAACTGAACAGGCGCTCCATATGCTATCAGGTTGAAGAACGAAGGAAACCAAGAGTAGCTGCACCTCACAAGGAAGGTATGTTATCACAGAGAAGTAAGGCTGACATTAACGTCAACATCCTTCCCGTCGGAGCGACGCGGCCTTGCGACATCTTCGCTTTGGGCCTCATCGGTGCATCTCTGGTTGCTGGCAAGGAAGTGTCAAGTTGGACGGCCGCTTGAATCCTACCGGTAAGCTAGGTAAGCATAATTAGCATATTGCCAGGCAGGTGTCCAACGGAACTTTGCTGTCTTCCGTTCCTGTGCGGTTGTGGATGCGGTCTCAGGTAGTTCCGACCGGATCTCCGTCAGAGGAATCATCTCGGAAGCTTCGTCTGCCACCATCTGGACGGAAGGACACCGACATGACTCCCTCATTCAAGGAGTTCCTGCTCGCTTTGCTTGAAACAGATCACAGTCGAAGACTCGCAGCTTCTGAGGTTGTGTACAGGATACCCAAGGAGTCTGAGTGGCTTGAAATCACCACAAAAAAGATTTCGCTGTGAACAGCTTGCCTCTGTTGTCCCGAATGGGAGCAGTCTTGCTTTTTCCTCGCAGCAAATTCAGTGCCTGCCAGTGGCACCGGCTCCGAAAGGTACTACTCAGTTACGACTCTTGCAAGGATGGATGCTGGCACCCTTGTCTTTGTCGGTGTACACATACATATTTTCTAAATCTATGTATGCATGCATGCACGGATGTATATATGTATGTATGTATGTATGTATGTATGTATGTATGTATGCATGTATGAATGTATACATGAACGGGGACTTGTGTGCTCAGCTCCATCGCAACTCTCGATGCTCTAGGCATGTTGGACTTTCCAGCAGCTGCAACCTGTGCGCATCTCGGGCCTCCCGGCTCTGATGTTTTCCACAGGTCGGCCAGCCCAGACTGAGCTCGCAGCGGCTGGATGCGCAAAGGAGAGGTTTATGATGCTGTGATTCCTGCTGGAAATTTCCGCGAAAACCGAAGTTTGATATCCTCTGCCGTGCACGGCACTCCAATGTGGACCTGTCGGCAACCGAGCAGACGGATAACTTCCCGGCGAAAATAGGCTGACACTGCACTGCAGACAGTCTAGAACAGACCAGCAAGCTGACATTTCCAGCCAGGCTCGCATCTCAGGAGCCAAATGGGAAAGGTTTCACCCACGTTCAGACTCGCTCACTCTGTTCGGGAGTAAACACGCAGTAAGAACTTCTGGCACGGCTTTTCAGCTGCCATCCTTGTCGCGCGACCTGTTGTCCCGACCTGTCTCAGGCTTTTGCCAGCCTCTGCGACCGGGAGGGCTTGGTGGACTTGCGCGCCCTCCGTGCCCTGGCCTTGGCCCACCCTGGCCTTCTGGTGTCCTTGCCACTCTGCGGAACTACGCGCGCGCGCGCGTGCGCGGGCGCGCGAAGGCTCGCTTCAATGCCTCAAAGCATCCGGACGTCCAGGAGAGCAGGGACAGTGGCAGAGGAGTTTTTTTGTTTGCCTGTTGCGTTGCATGGTGTGATCACCTGGAGGCAGGACTCAGGAGCCAGAAGGAGGCCGGTGACCGTACAGGCTCCCTGTGCTTAGGTGCCGTGCCTTTACCGAGGTGACTGTGGAGCTCATGTCCGAACTTGGCCACGGTGGGCCACGGCTGGTGCCTCGGGCAACGTGCCGTTTCTGAGATTTCGCTTTTATCTTTCTTTGCAGGATCTCTCTTGGGGACTTCGCCAGGCATTACGAGACCATCTCGGCCGGGACCGCCTCAGACAAAACAGTGGAGTTATGGCTTTGTGTCAAGAATGGAGCTTGTGCAGGATTCAGGATGACCAGTACTTCGGACACATTGTGCGCGGTGTTTGGGGTGTGCCTTGTCTTGAAAACCAAGCTCTTTCTGGCAGCCAGTGTCTGGCTGAACACAATGTTGTTTCGCAGCAATGCCTGCTGAGTTGCCACAGAGTGCCGCCAACGACATGGCAGCGAATGCGCCTGCTGCTCAGACATCTTGGATTCGTTCTCTGGGTCTCTCTGCGTCTCCCTCGGGATCCCCCTCTTACTCTTTCTGTCCCTCTCTCCCTCCCTCCCTCCCTCCCTCCCTCCGTCCGTCCGAACGTGCGTCTGTCCGTCTGCTGCTTGGATCGAGGCACCGCTGTTACGAAGGTCACATCATCACTACCGAGGGAGGTTTATGTGGGCCATATGCGCCTGGCGTCTGCTGAGAATTCAAGCACGACAAATTCGGACAATGAGCTGTACAGCCGGATCTCTCATCCTAGCTCTGGCGGCCGGAATTGGTGTGACCACGCCTTTACCTTAGCCTGCCTTGCGTGCTCGAGTCAAAAACAAAGGCATGACACATGTGGAAGATTTGCAGGCATTCGGCGAGCTCATGTGCTGCAGTTGTTGGACGGTGCACGCATCAGAAACTGTTGCTGCCCAATCCACAGCTGCTTGAACAAGTTCTGATGTCCTCATACTGTGGAAGGCATGTGCCACTGCCGTGCAACGGACATCTTTTTGTGGGATATTCGCACTACAACGACCACCACCCCGCAGAGTACGCCGTGGGCAGGGCAGGATTGAACGGGCAACTGACAGTGCCGAAGCCACGCAGCGTAGATGTTCCACCGCGGCTGAGCGATGGAGCCAGGACCTTGGATCTCGGAGAACTTCATGTGATCTAGACTTCACTCAATGCGAGAGGGATGGTCTCGAGCAGGGCACCGGAACTTGATGGCTCGCGCTCCATGGCCCGAGTCCGTGACCAGGTCGGCTGAAAAAGCTGGATGCCCCATGCGACAGCCCGAAGTATAAGATAATCGAGTACGAGTCAGGACCGAACCTGGGACTTTGCCCGGGAGCTGTCGGCGGCCTCAGAAACACTCGTAGCACTCGTCTCGATTTGCATCTCTTTTCTGCTGTATTCCAAGGCGCTCGCTGCGGGACTCCTGTGCGCGTTTCAAAGGCGAGGAAGTGCAAGCAGTTCGCCGAAGCAACGAAGAGGCCCGAGAGATCCAAGTCGAGCGGAGCATCAGACTGTGAAAACCGTCTGATCAGGTCGAGAGAAGTCTGCTGAGGAGGCAGCTCGATGAAACTGCAGCATGGCAGGAGCGCAGTGGGGCCACGTCCGTTAATAGCTCGCATGTGCTGCGGTTGCTGCGGACGACTATGCAGTGGTCGGAAGTATGGACACAGGACTTCTTGGGGAACTTCAACAGCAGCATCGTGCGATCCTGAGACAGGCGTGGCTTCCGGCAGTTACCTTTGGCTGATGTTGTCACGGCCAAGCGACACCGGTAGCTGGACCCGGTATTGTATCGTGACAAGGTCAATGGCCATTGGTTTTTCGCGAGCAAAAGTTTGCTAGAATTCGGAAGACGCTTGCGGTGATGAACTACCACGAAGCAAACTCTAGTCATGTCCAGTGAGAAGAGAACAAGAAGCCAACGCGATCGTGAAGGAGATGTTTGGAGTAACGCAGCTGTGCCGAACGAACCTTTCATGATACTCGAAACACCTAAAATACGCTGTGAGGTGAATCATCCAGAACATGGTTATGAGCAAAGTCCGAATCCTTTCCTTGCTGGAGTCGTCCTACCACGGCGCAGATTCCAGCCAGGATCCGGCAAGGAGGCATCTCCAGTCATATTTAGTACCATCTGTGTTTGTACTACCACTACCACATTCAGCCGGGAGGCGTCCTTAGTCTTGCCACGATCCGACGGAAGCATGTCCAGTGCTAAATCTCTTTCGAAGCTACAGCCCGTTCAGGATCTAGGGGGAGGAGGAAGCTCAAGCAAAACTCTGTGTACAAGTATGATTTATGTCAATGTATGCATATATATATACACACATATATATACTTATGGACACATACACATATGTATATATCTTCATCTACAACTGCGTCTATGTCTATATCTACATCTGTATCTACATCTATGTTCTATGTCTATGTCAATATCTATATCCATAGCTATGTCTATATCTAACTATATGTGTATATATATATAT